GTTGTTGTTGTTGTTAAGGTTTAAGGTTGTAGGTTTAAAATGGATATTTTATATCTGGCTATTGTGAACATCTATTGCCTTCATTAAGAAGAGTCTTGCTGACCGCAAGAATGGAGGTAACCGTTTCAGTACAGTAGCTTAATTGCAACTCAAGAATATTACAAGAAGGCACCTTAGGTTGCGCTGAAAAAGGTTTGTTGCTCTGTCCATTTCTTTTCCCACTGAGTCTACTTATTGATCACTATCTTTTATATCCTCTGGCCCTTGTCAAAGCAGCTCTCAAACCCGTCAAAATGACCAGCGTGTCCCCTAGTTTTCTTGCACCTGCCATTCCTTATGGTGTTTCTGACCCTTACATCTTTCTTACAGAACTTGTTATTTCAACCTCTAAGCTTGCCTTCCACAGAGAGCAGGTCTAATCTCCTGGACTACTTATAATCACATTCCACCCTCTTGATTAAAGTCTCAACACAGGAAAATGAATGGTTCCCAGTTTCTGAGTGGAATAAAGGAATAGGTTGAAATTAAAATAAACATTTTTGAGTAGGAAATATAATCATGTATTTCTACCAGATAATTGCAGCAACTTCATTTGTATATTTGTAATCTTGTGAAGTACTGTATTATATTTAGCTTCGAGTAGAACTATTGCAGACTGTGAACTAATATGTGCAGATGTTGTTCCCATTGAACTTCGATGATATTCCCCAGGTTTCTCTCCTCATGTTATTCTCTCTCACAGGGTGATCCAGGTCACAGACTTTACCAAAGCTGACATCAATACTACAGCAGATCAGTTTAAGGAAATGGCAGCTGACACGAGGAGTCTGTAATTTAAGAACATTACAGATAATCCTTTCTTAGCTATAATTAGGAGAGGGGACTGTATGGAGCATTAATGAAAGATTAAAGTAAATACTTGTAACGAGTGTTTTAAAATGAATATGAAATTGAAACAAAGATCTAATTTGACAACTACCAAGACAAACAAACACCAGCTCTCCATAAAGGTACCACTTTGGTTGCCTCCATTTATTTGGATACTTTATTATTAAACTAAAACATTCTAAAAAGATTTTTTTTAATTTTAAGATAAATTTATTATCTGATTCTGCTTTCTTAATATGGTCTCACAAACTCATGGCAGAACCCACACATGTTCACCTAGAAATGTCCGCCAATTCACATTACCCCCAGTGTGGAGTCCTGTAGCTCAGTGGTTAGAGCACTCGCTTTGCAAGTGAGAGACCTGAGTTCAATTCCAGGCAGAGGGCCAAACCTTGGGCAAGTTTCCTTACTCCACACAGAGCCCTAATAATAATCCCTCCAAAACAAAACAATAATAAATTGGTAATTTTCAATCTACGACTGTTTGTGGGACATTGCTGTGCGCAATTGGCTGCTGCGTTCGCCCACAAATATAGAGTCAATTCACTTTACAGTCTATTCTGTGAAGCGCTTTGGGATGTCCTCCCGACGTGAAAAGCGCTATATCAAATGCAAGGATTATTATATTATTATTATTATTAATAACAATTGCAGAACTCTGTTTACATTTGTGTGAATCTCAACAAAGCCGAAGGGAACAATTGTTTAAGAAGCATCTGTGATCAAAAGAGAATCTGGGCATAATATCAAGACAGACCTATACCTTGCTTGTAAATACTGTATATATTGGCTGCATGGACAATAAATATTAATTCTCCTAAAATGCCTAAAAATTCCTCGAGCAAGCAGGGCAGCTATTTTGATAATGCGTAACACACATGTACTCGGCCCTTCTACAGTCCACCGCTTTAGAACCAGGAAAGTTTGCAGATTGCGCCCATTGGTTGTCTTCCTTTCCTGGGTAGGATTCCCTGGTAAAAGGAATCAGTTCGCCAAAAGGGAAGATGTGTTGCATGTTGTAACCTTGAACAATATAGCAAAGAAAATTCCAGGAAGCGTTCCTCAGTTTGTCTCTGGCTGATCTCAGTTGAAGAGATGGCGATTGTGAAGTGCTCCAAGATGTTGTTCCTACATGAAAGAGAACTGTCTTACATCAATGCACCCAACGTGTTATTGTTGTTGGTGAGATTCTGACTTGGCCTCATTGTCCCTCAAGGGGGAGGAAGTAACTAAAGTTCCTGGCCCTGACATCTCGGGAAGGTGGCATGAAACTGGAACTCTTGGCAATCATGTGCTGGGTCTAAATTCTGGGAATATGTTATGTGTAAGAGTTGCAGCCTTGAAATCAGCACCAAAGCAGGAATCTAAACACAGGCAATATCCACATATTACAGTCAAAACACACAAAAATCTGGCTACACTGACAAACGCTCAATATTTTTTTATCACAATTTTTTTGTTCATAGGATGCAAAATGCATGATGTAATTCCACATCAAATATATTGTATTATCTATGTACAATAACCAGAATAATACACATTACGTAGTATATAAATTGCCACAGGATGGCAGCATTGTACTGCATTCGAGATCTATATTTTGTGAGCAATAAATGAAATTCATGCTGTAATGTTCTATGGGACTCCCTTAGCTAAATACATCTTCTGAAAGAAAAATACAATGACTGATGAGGAGTGGGTTTACTAATGCGACTGCAGGTCCATACAGAATAGCTAAATTTCTAGCTTTTCTTTAAGTTTCCATTAAAATATTACTGCGGATTTCATTCTAAGATAAGGAAATGAGTGTGCGTTGTTCAAGTGTTAAACAGAAGCATTGGCAGATGCCGAGGTAATAAGATTGCGTGCTCATTTTCTTGGCTGAAGGCATCCAATGGTTTAAATGCTTAAATGAGGTACAGCAGAATCTAAAGGGAGGAAAAAGCCCTCGCAAATGATCACAACACAATTTCAGCCATAAGCAAGTGAATAGCTTACAGCTGATCAGTCAAAAGACAATTAAGTAAAAACAGTTACAAGCGCACGTCTTTTTGTTTGCCAAATTGAGCAGAAGTTCAGAAACCGAAGAAGTCAACCAAAGACCTGGTCTGTCAACAGTTAAGCTTGTTTTCAGTTTGGCAACAAACTGTACGCAAAGCCCATTAATGTAATTCAGTTCTGATGACATTTTGGACAGAATGAAGAAAGTACTGTGTAACATAAGGAAGAGAGTTCAAAATTGATTCAGCCTTGGCTTTTGGTACAGCTGTGGGATTCGGACAAACTTATTGGATCCAAAATTAATTTGGAGCAGGCGCTTATTTCTGAATGGGTTTGAACTCTTTGAAACTAAAATTCAGCCCATAACCTTTGACATCCGAAGTCTTGAACATTTACTGAAAGGATAGCGTTTTAACCAGGATATCCTCAATTGATCTCACAGCTATTTTCAATTGAATTGCCCTTACATTTTACATCGAATCTAGTCGTTGACGTGGAAGAATAAAGTCAGCGTGGATCAAGTTCTTCACAATTAGATGCCTAAAACTTCTGTGGAATGTCAAACACCTTTTTTGGTGAAGATGGTGAAAGCATTTTTCATCAACGGACAGTTAGTTTATCTGCGAAGAATGCAGCCAGAGCAGTTGAACCAGGACGTGCACATGCCTCACTCCATGCATTCCTCCTTCCTTCGCAGTATCAAATGATAGGATGTTGTCTTTTCCAAAGCGAGACAGCTAATTCCGCGCTCAGAATGAAAGCCAAGTAACTGAGTTGCAAACGCTTAACTACCGGAAGGAGAAATTGCGGTAATATTGAACGTAGCCGTTTGGGTCGGTTTCAAACTAATTAGCTGATGGAATTCTGAATTCAACCGAGACGTTGTGACAGAAGAGACGCATGAAAGAAAGACAACAGACGAGAGTAATCCCATACCATAATCCTCTTGCTTACAAACAATGCAATGTGTCAGGTAATAGGGTTCGCGCACACATTAGTTCCATGTGTTTCGATAGCGCAGCGCCATTCTAAACATTGTGAAGTGCGGGACATTCGACCGCAAGTGTTTAAAGGACTAAATTCCACCCTTTGCGTAGATTATTGTTGGTGAATTGTGTTCAATAGAATATTCATTCCATTCCGCTATTCATCTTTGGTCTCCTTCACTCCAGAGACCAGTGTGTGTGTGTGTGTGTGTGTGAGGGTGTGTGTGTGTGTGTTGGGGTGTGTTTGGGTGTGGGGGGGGGGTGTTGGGGTGTGTGTGGGGGTGTTGGGGTGTGTGGGTGGGGGTGGGGGTGGGGGGGGTGTGTGTGTGGGGGGGGTGTGTGGGGGGGGTGTGTGGGGGGGGGTGTGGGGGGGTGTGGGGGGGGGGGTGTGTGTGGGGGGGGTGGGGGGTGTGTGTGTGTGTGGGGGGGGGTATTGGGGTGTGTGGGGGGGGTGGGGGTGTGTGTGTGTGGGGGGTGTTGGAGTGTGTGTGGGGGGTGTGTGTGGGGGTGTGTGTGTGGGGGGGGGTGTTGGGGTGTGTGGGGGGGGGTGGGGGGGTAGGGGTGTGTGTGTGGGGGGGGTGTTGGGGTGTTGGGTGGGGGTGTGTGTGGGGGGTGTGTGTGGGGGGTGTTGGGGTGTGTGTGGGGGTGTGTGGGGGGGTGTTGGGGTGTGTGTGGGGGGTGTGTGTGGGGGGTGTGTGTGTGGGGGGGGGTGTTGGGGTGTGTGGGGGGGGGTGGGGGGGTAGGGGGGTGTGTGTGTGTGGGGTGTTGGGGTGTGTGGTGTGTGTGGGGGGTGTTGGGGTGTGTGGTGTGTGTGGGGGGTGTTGGGCGGTGTGTGTGGGGGGTGTGTGTGGGGGGTGTTGGGGTGTGTGTTGGGGTGTGTGTGGGGAGTGTTGGGGGTGTGTGTTGGGGTGTGTGTTGGGGTGTGTTTGAGTGTGTGGGGGGTGTTGGGGTGTGTGTTGGGGTGTGTGTGGGGGGTGTTGGGGTGTATGTGGTGTGTGTATATGGTGTGTGTGGGGGTGTGTATGTGGTGTGTGTGTGAGTGTGTGGTGTGTGGGGGGGTGTTGGGGTGTATATGGTGTATGTGGTGTGTGTGTGAGTGCCCTCCGGCCCCGCAGGCGGCGCTGTGACTGTAACACACAGACAGACGGGGCCGATCATTTCCGGTGTTGAATGGCGGCGCTGACGATGGAGCCGATTCGGCTGCACAGAGGTGAGAGAGAGAGAGAGAGAGAGAGGCACTGACTGGGGGGCGGTGTCTGTGTGTGTGTGTGTGTCTGTGTGTGTGTGTGTGTCTGTGTGTGTCTGTGTGTGTGTGTGTGTGTCTGTGTGTGTGTGTCTGTGTGTGTGTGTGTGTGTCTGTGTGTGTGTGTGTCTGTGTGTGTGTGTGTGTGTCTGTGTGTGTCTGTGTGTGTGTGTGTGTGTGTCTGTGTGTGTCTGTGTCTGTGTGTGTGTGTGTGTGTGTCTGTGTGTGTGTGTCTGTGTGTGTGTGTGTGTGTCTGTGTGTGTGTGTCTGTGTGTGTGTGTGTGTGTCTGTGTGTGTGTGTCTGTGTCTGTGTGTGTGTGTGTCTATGTGTGTGTGTGTGTGTGTGTCTGTGTGCGTTGTGTGTGAGAGATGTCTTGAAGACACGATAAAGCGCTATTCCAAATGTCAGGATTATTGTTGTTATTATTATTATTATCCCCTCTGTTAAACCTGACATTGCCCCCCGTCCCGTCCCCCCGTCCCGTCCCCCCGTCCCGTCCCGTCCCCCCGTCCCGTCCCCCCGTCCCGTCCCGTCCCCCCGTCCCGTCCCCCCGTCCCGTCCCGTCCCCCCGTCCCGTCCCGTCCCCCCGTCCCATGAGCCACTTTCTAACACTTCCCTCAGCCATCACTGTGGCTCCAAGTCACGTCATGTCAAAACTCTCCATCTTCCAGCCAAAATGTTGCCAGTGTTTCCTGTTTCGCCACTAAAAAAATATTAATCCTTCAGTCGATTGGGGGGAAAAAAAGCAGAAATCCTAATTCCCTTAAAGGGATACGAAAAAGGTCAAAAGAGCTGAATATGTTGGAGGTCAAAGGATGAAACGACGCGTGAACCTACAAAATAGGTTATGAGGGTGCGACCCTCAGCCGACTTGCACATCCACCCTCATATTCACATCCACCCTCTCTTTCTCTTCCCTTTCCCCAACATTTCTCTCCGCACCGCCAACCAACCCTCATTCCTGACACTTGCAGAGCTAAACACCACATCATGTGGTGCTGTCTCCCACAGAGACAGAGAGGAAATCCGTACGTACACCTGCTGCAGTATGACAGATATATATATATATAAATAAACACTATCTTTAAAAGATATTTCAATTTTGAAGTAACCTGCGATTAAACATGTGATAAAGGTCTATGCCGCTTGAATGTGCGATTTATTGGTTAGCGCTTTGGTTACTGAAAATATAATGTAGTAGTGTGCACCTCATATTGACAGATGGTCAGAGCAATGAAGCGGTAAGCGGTTTTGTATCGCAAACCGCACCAGATGGTCTCTGCTAAACCTGTCTGGTGGGAAAAAAAAATCTATTTCTATGCTGTTTTGATAAGGTAAATCTTTGCTGGCATGTTTTGAACTAAATCACGTGGGTTTGGTGGGGTGGGTGAGTATAATACTGTTGCATCAGTCATGCAGCAATCACTGCATAACGACTAATGTAAAAATGACTGCACAAGGAATTTCTCCGCGGCAGTCCATACCGAATTGAGGTTCAGGTTTTAGGTATAACCGTGAAGAGGCGCTAAATGGAGACCAGGTGTTGCAATAGAAACCGAAATTGCGACAGTTCTTAAAGTAAAAAAGTTTAATACTCTTGCTTTGACCCAGTGTGGAAAAAAAATGTCTTGCGCTTCCCACTGTTTGGTAAGGGAAACTATTTTTGGTGAGTCAGCAAAAAAAAAAAAAAACTGTTCAACTTAAATTTGAGGCTGTTAATCTCGTAAATAATTCCAGTGTAACTTTCTACTTGTTGAGACCTTAGCATGATGGTGAAATATTATAACAGACCACAAAGGATTCTTTCGTCTTGTAACAGAGCAGGAAAAAACATAAATGCTTTGAAATCTTCAAGGCTGAGACTGATAGATTTTTTTAAAAATAGAGGGATTAGGGGATATGGGGAGAGGGCAGGTAATTAGAGTTAGGTCTGAAGATCAGCCGTGATCTTATCGAATGGCGGGGCACAGGCTCGAGGGGCCGAATGGCCTACTCCTGCTCCTAATTCTTACGTTCTTACGAAATGAGATAAACGTGTTGATTCATGATGTAAGCCAGAAAGCTGCTCTGTTTTGTATTTAAAATCACCCGAGGTTGAAAATACCTCGCCCTCGGCTTGTGGGTGATTGGACATTTTCAAAAATTATTTGACCGCAATTGAAGAAGCACTACGGAGATCATTGCATTAACTGGGTAACTCTATGGACAAGAAGACACTCAGTACTTATAGTCAGACATTTAGGTGACCCATTTAAAAATGTCCGTATTATTTTTGCTTTGGATAGTGTAGATTGGAGTCATGCTGTAGAAAAAATTCCTTTGGTTGTTACCACCCAAGCTTATCTATTGTGGTCTGCTAAAAAACATTGTAGTACTGGGCAGAGGAAAGTGATGTTCTGTGTTTATTAAGGTGAGGATGTCAGTGCTGAGAGTGCAATACTTTTCAAGCAAAAGGTGCTTTTAAGTCTTAATGGTTTGTTGTTTGTGCGGTAGTAATTGTTTGTGAAACACTTGAAACAAGATGTTTCATTGTGAAAAGGTGTTATAAAAATGATAGTTCTTTTTCTTTCATCCAAACATATTGGTAGGCTAAGATTTTTCTGTTACTCTCATGTGTAATTTTCATATACAGTAGGTTGCTTCAAATTCAGAATAATAGAGGTGTAAATTTATTGATACCCGAGTGTTTTTAAAAAATGATAATTTACACGCATGGAAATACCACAGAATAATGCGCACTAATCTGTGTACACACTGGGCCTCTTTTGAAGTTTTGAAAACTTGCACAAATTGTATAATTGAAGAATTAGCCTCGTACTGTAGCTTGAATAATCCTTTTATTTGGATTAGATTCAGCAGCCTTTATTGCTTCAGTGCTTGTCGACTGTCAGTACCATAACAGTCCTTGGTTTGCAAATATGTTTGCAAATATGAAGGTAGTATCTATTTGTCATCTGTCATATTGGTTTGCTAGAATTTGCTGGAAACAATAGCAAAGTCAGTAATGTAAACTGCTTTCAGGATTAACCATTAAAACAGTAATTAGTACTTGTAACTTGTTTGATTGTCAAGTAATAGCAAGTTGTCTGTGGAAGTAAATCCAGGCTCCCTGGATTTTGTCTTCATCAGCACTGATCAGCCATTGTCATGTTGACTGAAGCAAAAGTTAACTCCTTTATATCCTTTATAACTCCTTAATTTTGATAATATTTGGGAAATTTGTTGCATTAATTATTGTCTAGCTTACTCCTTTTGAACATTGTTTCACAGTCATTTTTTGACTCTTTGTGCATCTAATATTACTTCAGCTGCTGAAATGCGCAGAAATTATCTTCAGCTCAATGTCTGGCATTATTTAAATCCATACTTGACATTCCAGATGTTTCTAGGGCCATTGAGTTGCTGGAGAAGTTGCAAAGGAGCGGAGAAGTACCACCCCAAAAGCTTCATGCTTTGCAAAGAGTGCTTCAGAGTGAATTCTGTATTGCTGTACGAGAGGTATGATGCTGCTGTACAAAGCTATAATCGGCTGTTTGTAAAGTCTAAGCTGTGTTACTGGTAATTGCAGATGTTATAAACTTAGAAAATCTAATTGACTATATCTGAAATGCCTAACTCAATGAGAAATATTTTGTGTGCTGTATTAAAGAACGCTAATTAGTTATATTAAGCTTTAAATTAAGTTCAGTGCACTGCTTTTCCAATGATTTAGTGAGCAAAGGCACAGTCCTCTGCCTACTGAGTCATCCAGACCAGTTGTGCTAAAAGAGTCATACAAGACCAGGAAGATCTCGGGTTCGGCCCTTGGTTTGCTGATTGATCAACTTGATGTGTCGGAGCAGGGGTGGGATTCCAACGATGATCTTCGGTGTCTCTAGCCTGGGAAGGGAACACATTGTGAGGGTACCCACTCATGTTTGCTTTCGCTGGACATATGAAAATTGATCTTGGGTATGATGCCCCATTCAGGTAGCCTCTAAATACTTGCTGTCCAGGCTTAATGTATGAAGAAAGATTACTTGTATGGTGAATGGAGAGGGACCATCCCCTGTGGAACCCTGCACCAACCATCAGCTTCATGAGTGAAGGAGAAAAGATTAATATAAAAATACTCTGTTTCTGTAACACTGAGAAGATTGCGATCGTTACAAAATTATGTACAAAATACATAATTGTTTAAGGTAATTTTTGAAGATGGTGTTCTACATTTTCTAAGAGGCAATATTTTTAATGGATGAACAAACGATGCCTTTGTTTAAACGATGCCCCTCTGATGGCTTAGCACAGAAAAAGCAGAATTGAAGAAACATATATGACAAACTAAACGTTTGTTTCATAAATGTGTTTAGCGAGCTCTAGTTTTGGGGACTTTCTGGTTGTAATATTCATTATGGTGCTTGCAGGTTTACGAGCATGTGTACGAGACTGTAGACATTAATAGCAGTCCAGAAGTAAGAGCCAGTGCCACTGCCAAGGTAAGGTTGTATATTGCAAATACATTTTTAAGGACCTCATTTTGCGTGGGTTGTTTTTTCAAGATTCAAAACTATTGGGTCTTGCATTACATTTTTTGGTGTTCTTTTTAGATCAGAGTACAGCGTTAGTGTTCAAACTGCTTTTAATTGAATGGCATGTCTGCAGTAGTACTATTTTTTTGAATAAACGTAAAACTGTTTTAAACGGTTGTATGTTCATGTTGACGGTTTGGATTCTGCAGACTTTGATGCAACTGTGTAAAAGAGCGATTTGTCTATCCAGGCAACAGTTGCAGCGTTTGCTGCCAGTGAAGGACACTCGCATCCAAGGGTTGTCGAACTTCCCAAAACGGATGAAGGACTGGGATTCAACATCATGGGTGGAAAGGAGCAAAACTCTCCTATATACATATCGCGCATTATCCCTGGTGGAATTGCAGATCGCCATGGGGGACTGAAGCGGGGAGACCAGCTTCTGTCAGTAAATGGAGTGGTGGGTACTGCGGGCACCTTATCGTAAATATAATTGAATATATATGCAGGTTGTGCATTCATTGGATGGTGTTTTAAGTTTTTTTTTTAGTAACTGTCTTGTCCAGACAGTGGTGCATGGAAAACGTTAACTTAAAAAATTCCGCAGGGAACAGTCTTATCCCTGATAGGTATAAGAAAATATAGCCATAAACACTGCAGAGTACCACAAGTGCATTGATTATTTTTGAGTGTGCGTTTCATGCTGTGACAGTGTACTTTGATGTGGCCAGGTTCCAGACAGTGAGCTCAGCGAGCTAATAGATTCAACGGGGGAATGTGTGTAGGTTGTTGTGATTTGTGGTTAACCGCAGAACGTTGGGTTCAGTTGATTAATTACAGATTTCGATTGCTTATAAGGCAACATTGTGACATCAAAAGATTCACTACACTGAAAACGCCACCTAATTCGGCACCCTCGCTAATAAAACCGAACAGTTGGGTTTTTCCGGGTGCCAGTGATGAGACCTGGTTTGTGATATCGGCAATAAACGTGAAGGAAAATAAAAGTTTCAGTGTAAATTTTATCTTCCCTTTAATGGGTATCTCCTTGGTTCAGCTAATCATGTTTCTCGCCGTGTGCATTTAGATTGGCCAGAGCAAAGATAACAGGCTTCCCTTATTAGTGGGGTTTCTTTCCTTTTGGCCCAGCACTTGTCGCAGGGAGCGAACATCTGAGGGATCGGCCTGCACTTCAGCACAATTACAAAGAACGCCGATGTTTCTTTATCAAACAAAAACCGTGCGGCGTAATTATAGTGGAGGGAAAATGTAAATGCGAGAATTCTAATCTAGAAATAACTTTAAAATAAATAGAATGTCTGTTTGTCGAGCAGAATGGTTCTTTTATCACATTGTTCCTCGCCTTAAAGAAAGCCAGACTATATCTGAAATGAATCTGTATTTGGACAAACGTTAATTGATGCAGATGACAAATGGTAGCCAGTGTTCATCTGAAATAATGAGACACTTGTTTTCACATGTATAGAGCGTTGAAGGAGAACACCATGAAAAGGCAGTTGAGCTACTGAAAGCTGCCCATGGAACTGTTAAATTAGTTGTCAGATACACGCCAAAAGTGCTGGAAGAAATGGAATCGCGGTTCGAGAAAATGAGATCAGCAAAACGCAGACAGCAAATCAACTATTAAACCTACATTTGTCAAACAGTTCCACACAATGCTTCATTGTTCTGAATTTTACAGTACGGTTGAGCTTTCTCACTGTCTGCTCTGTCTTGCAGTGAGGAGGGGAACATTATCAATAGTTTTAACACTAGTTTGTCACTGTGATCATGAACATCATAATGGAGAATATTGCTTGTTTAAAAGCTTTTGATAAAATTTTGAGAACAAAGTATGTTAAAGGCATTTCTATCAGTACTCCGTTTTAAAATGATTATTTTCCAATAAGCAGTGTGATTTTACCGTTTCTGCCCATTGAAAGTGATTCCTAATATTTTTGAGAACAGAGGAGTTGCTAAGTTGTTCCATGTAAAGTTGATAAATTAACATCAGTAAAGCATGACAGTAAACATGTGATGCTTGGCAATCGCGTTACTTCAACCATTCATGTACTAATTTGGCTCGGTCACCTCCATTTTCCCTGATTATTCCGTGTTTAATATTCAAACCTCGAAAAGAATGAGGGAGGGGAAAAATAGCATGAAAGATGTTGGTTCCTAAATTTTTCTGGCAGGTTAACATTTATGAGGACACTAAGACTCGTTACACGCCCAGTCTGTTTATCCAAACAAGAACACTCCCTTTCATTACGGTTATTCCTGGCTAACTGAATCATTCAAGCCATCTTCGACTGTTGTTACATTGACAGAATGGAAATGTAGATCAATAGAAACCTGCAATCTTTGCCAAATATGACTTGCAATGTGATAAAACATTGTTGGTGTTTCGCATTATTAATTATCTAATCTTAGTCGCATCGACCTCGTTTATGATAAAGTGAAGGAGCCAAGTTGCATTACTCCATTTGACTTCACTTCAAGTCTGATTAGTCTGGTCTTAAAGTAAAAGTCACTGCAAGGACTATGCTTCATAAATTCATATTCACAGACCAGCGTCCCTCACTCTGTGGATATGAAATTGTCCTATGGAGAAGTCACCTCAGGTCGATGCTTGCGAGCTAACAAGGTTTAATTCTCTACCTCCAGCAGACTTTTTGAATCCGCAATGTATTTGCAGTGCAGTCATCGAGACAAATACAATTTTGCACGAGGATTTCTGTTAACTGGATTCCACACAGGCTTTTCCACCACTTGTTCGAATAACTTTTTTATCAAACGAGTTTTTGTATTCTTGATATAAATTTTTCTACTTTTTTTTCAAAAAAGGAAAAACTAACGCCTCTGCTATTGAACACTTTTCAAACAAAAAATGTTCTATTTGTCAACTTTAATCCTGCACTGAAGACCAAGATAGTAATCGCTCATCATTTTAGAATGCTGGCCAAGAGTGTACATTGTGCTGTTTTGCTCATAAATGCCACACGGTAATAGAAATGAAAGCATATTTTTGAGTGTTACTTATGAGTTTCTCTAAACGAGTGGATATTTAAAAGAAGCATTTTTATAGCTTTACTACCTATTGGAATGCTTGACTTGCGCATTATGTATTACATTAAATAATGCCTGAAATCGTCTTCATTGCTTACAAATATCTGTGTCTGCGCAGTTTTCATGACCATCTGAATACCTGAGCTATTTTGATTCCTGTATTCCTAACTCTATACAATTGATTGTAACATAAGCAATTTTATATTCTGCTGTTTCTGTATTTGTAAGCGAGAAAATCAACTTGATATCGCAAGTATTGACAATCATTTCCTGCTTTTCCTCCTTTAAAATTATACATTCTCTTTGCTTGGATGCATGTTTAGCTTCACAGTGAAATTAATAATCGGTAGTTATCTGAAACCTGTATCAGACCAAGCTGCCATCTTCCAGAAAAGTAAAAATCCACTAATTTAATTGACTACACTATAAAGCTCATATATTTGATTCTGATTTTTTTGACAGTAAAAGTAATTTATGTTCACTTCTTTTTTTAAAGGAAAGCTGTGGATTGTAAAATGCCAAATGTATTAGTTTGGAAATGCCTCTGTTTTAATTTGTAGGATTTTAATTTTATTAAAATTTTATTGGACAAGAATTTGGTTTTCCAGTTTTGAAGTTATTTTTCAGATCGCTGCTTCGTTTCAGCTTTTTTGGGCGGATTTGGGTTTGCATCATACACCGACGTAATGGGTTATTTTTAAACACTTAACGCTTTGGGGATGTAAAACCTTTGCCTTCTTAATTTGTGATTAGAGTTGAATTTTCCAGTGGGATCTGAAGACGGAGATTGGTGACTGTTTGGCAGGTTCAGGGTTAAAAAAAAAACAATCTGATTTCTTAGTCTATGATCAGACTGGAGGAAATGGGAATGTCGATGCATTGTTGGAGATGCAGTCTTTCAGATGAGATGTTAAAGATCCTTTAACACTATAAAGTAGAAGGAAGTCCTCCTGCTGGCCTAACGAAAAGTTCTACTGACTAATCCTCATTCGCCTCAGGGTTATTGTGAGACTTTGCAGGTGCAAATGGCTGCCTTGTTTGCCTCCGAAAAAAAATTAACAATACCCTTGGATACAGTAATTGCTTGTGAAGCGTTTTAAGATGTTTCAACCTGATCGGCTGCTATAAAACTAGTCCTTTTATTGCAGCACCCATTTTCTGCCCTTATGGGAAAGACGTGTTCCAATTTTAGTGCTCCCATCAGTGCAGAAAAAAACGTAGAGGTGTAATGTTTGCCTCAGGTCCAAAAGATCGTTCATAAATCCTTAGCTTAAATACTACTATTTTCCCCCCTAAACACTCAAAAATTATTAGTACATTGAAAGGATTTAAAAAACTGAAATCTTAGAGTAAGGTTGACAAAATGACGCTGTAGAGTATGTTGAGTATGGTGGTTGAAGCTCAAATGTACATAATGTGAACAGTTCTTCCTTAATATTGTATATTGTATAGTTTTTTTTTCCAAAGGCAATTAAATGTCTTAATTCTGCTTCACCAGGCATTGGGGCTTTGCTTTTGTGACCTGCTATAAAATGTAGTCATGTAACACTTGCATTTTTGCTCTTATTTTAATCTGATTATTGTGACACTTATGATGTCTGCATTGTTTTGTGAATGATCAGGTTGTAACCTTAATTGAAATAAACTTTTAATCTATGTACAGTCACAATTAATCAAATTGTTATTCTGGACATTCTATCTGAAGTACTTGAAATCCATTTTATTTCCTAAATATGTTTTGCAGATTACCCCTTCACTGCTTCCAAAATAATTTAATTAAGTGAGTAGGGAACAGAATGCATGCGTAAATTGGAGAGCATTTTGGCACAAGGCAGAGTTGAGTGTTGAAATGGTCAATGATCTTGTTCGGAGATTGGTAGTTCATCATTTCGGTTCAGACTCATTCCACAAATTAATATGCTCTTGAAGCACATCTCAGTTCATTAACATCAAGCAATCCTTGATATTACAATGTGATATGAGTGAATGGTATTGGATCATAGCCAAAAACATTCTGACATCATACTCCTTTCATACAGGATCTGCTCTTGAATTTATCTGCTGCTTCTCAGCCTGGTTATCAGACATCGATAAGACAAAGTTGCCAGGTGTCCGACTGCATGGTTTGCCCAATCACACCAACTAGTGGTCTCTCTTAAAAATATTTATCATCTGAGCTTTCTGCTGTTCATTAATCCACTTACAGTTATTGCTTTAGGATTTTCTAAACCTTGGTTGTCTCAGCATCTTGCCCATAGCATGAAAGCAGCACATTTTATATTACAAGTACTGTAGTTTCCAGAAAGGTTCATGAGTATGTCAAACAGCGAGGTATTCAGAACAGATCTCTGGACTTCTACTAATCACTGTCAGGTTCCTCCTCTAACAAGCTACTTAGCGATCAAGCAGCATAAGGCGATTCGATTTAGGACTGACCTTATTGTCTCATCCTTCCATGACGAAGTAGGGAAGAAGATTCGAACAATGAGATTAAGTTGGGAATCATTCATTGTTATCGAAACATAAAATTTGGGTCTCAGAAAAAAATTCAATTGCAAATATTTTTGGCATTTGTTAACTCTTCAGCCACTAGTATAAGTGTGAAGTAAATTTGTTTGCAATCCCTAACCAGGAGAAAGCCATTTAGTCAAACGGGCCTTTTTAATTCTCAGTCCTACCTATTGACCTTATGTCTCGATTTTGCACAAGTGCTATACTTGGTGGAGCTTGTAACGCATTTAGCAGTGCTATACAAATGTAACTTTGTTGTTGTTGTTGTTGTTGTTGTTAGTGGGCCTGATGGTGTGAAGGCTTCAAGCTCCTTGTTTCAAATTGTAAGTGTTCTACGTGCCAGTGCAGTTTAGTGTTGTATATCTGTAGCCCACTAGGTGGCAAACGGCTACCAAATTGGAAGAGAAACTGCGTTGCAGCTATTTTAATACTGTGTATAGTTTGCTCCATTTCTCTCAATTATTTTGCAAATTGTTAAACTCATCTGCGTCCTGAAACCATCGCCCATTGTAACACTCTGACGTGAATTTTATTTTAAATGGGGGAAAAAAAAATTAAGCTAATTTAAGTGGTTGATGAAAGTCATGATTTAACTGTTCATCAGCAGTCATCCCTAAGGTAATTTTAAGCAGTAACCATTGAAACATTTTAAGTGTATTTCAGGTAGTGTTCTTGGCTGGCAATTTGTTTAAAGGATAACAGTTTGATATTAATAAGCAACTGTTTAGCAGGAATTACATTTCCTAATTCTAAGACCTGTTTACGGTGAATTTTGTTTCAAATCGAATGTTTGTATCAAGAGTTAGTTGCATCATTGGTGAAGAGTAAATATTTCCATTTTCACGCGAGCCAACACAAAATCAAGTGACTACCTGCAGCTCAGCTAAACCAACAAACGTCTCATGTGATCTTACAACACAACTTATAATTTGGACGAAGCTGTTATTTTCTTCCTATGTTATCATAACGGGGCATGAAAGGTAAACTGTTTGTGACCTTGACATAAAAACTAGCTGTTCAAGCTTTCAAAAGCGTTACTCATGTTTAAATTGATAGGCAACTAAGGTTTTCAAGCTGCCACTTTATTGTTACAAACAGGTATACATCATGTAAACAAATTATAATGCTGGTCAGACTGAGATGGAGAAGATCTCGGGAATAGATGAGAATAGCCATCTCACATACAAGTTTGTTTCTGCCGAGCAATATTTAGGTGACCTCATGTTTTTGGAGTATTCTGTCTACAAATACCCAAGAGGTACTGTTTTGCCCACTAAATGCCTGAAAGCTGACCCTCCAGTATTGGGCAACATAAATACTGTCAGCTGGCCAAGATGAAATGCAACAGCTTCCTTGCCTAAATGAGTCATTTGTTAGGACAGAAAACGATTGACTCACTTGGTCCCTTACTTGAAATCTTCGCTCCAAGTGATTTTCAGAATGAGTCGCCACAATAAGAGTGCAAGCTGGCTTTGTTGGCAACGTGGATGGAAATCACGTTCTGCTTAATTTATTTAATTGTGTTAACGCTTGATTAAATGTTTTTTTTTTCTGAGGTCATCTCCGACTGTTTTATCTTCCATCCAGGATTGCTAACATTGCTCTGCTTTCTCCTGAACATTACGTGCTGCGTAATGGTTAGAGAAAAGTCATTGTTTTTTGGTCAGCTAGGTATCTGACACTCGTGGAAACCTTGTAATTCTACTACAAAACTCCTTGGATTTGATGTAACGCTTTATCGCATTCTCGAAAGCCTCAATGTACTCCACAGGAATTAATGCAAAGCGGAGCGACTGGAAGTGTTGCAGGCAAGTGCGGCAGCCAATTTGTTCATAATGTCTTACAAACAACCATAAAATGGTCAATTTTAATCGTTAGCCAGGAAACTGGAGAAACTCGCTTCTCCTTTTGAGTAGTGCAGAATAGTGATATTCTTTGTTGAATAATTACAAGGTAACAATTGCATTCTGCAACACAGTTTTGTTTTAAATTCTTCTGACCAAATGGATACTGTGACAACTTAAACTATATTCACTATGAATGCCATAGAAGGAACGCAGTGGATGTACGTTTCACCCACAAAATATGCAGTCAATTCACTCAGTAGTACTGTGGACCACTCCAACCTCCACCACCACCTCTCCTCTCACCTCAGCCTTCGAGGTTCTGCCCTTGAATGGTCCAATTTGTCTCCCCCAACGGTTTCTCTTCCAGCCCCCGCGGAGTCTCGTGCGGTGTTCCTCGGGGCTCTGTCTTCTGTCCCCTCCTCTTAAATTTTTACATGCTCCCACTTGGTGACATCATCCGCAGACATGGGGTCAACTTCCAGGTGTACACGGATGACACCCACCCAACTATCTCTCTGCCTCCACCCTCGATTCCAGGAAAACTGATGTCCTGACAGACTGTCGGTCTGACATCAAGTCCTGGATGAGAGTCAACTTTCTACAGCTGAATGTCAGCAAGACTGAGGCCATCATGATTGGCTCGCGCCAGCGTCTCCGCACCTCAGGCACTGGCAGCATTAGCATCCACGGTTGCACACTCCACCTCACCAAACCAGTCAGGAACGCAAGCATCTTGTTCGACCCTCAACTGTCCTTTCTCCCCCATTTCTGTGCTATGACCCGCTCTGCCTTCCTCCACCTCTGCAACATTGCCCAACTCCACCACTGCCTCACCCCTCAGGCCCCCGAAACCCTCCTACATGCATTCGTCACCTCAAGGCTCGACTATGGAAACTCTCTCCTTGGCGGCCGCCCCAACTCTTCCCTCCACAAGCTGAAGATCACCCAGAACTCCACACCAGGCTCCGTGACCCCACCACCCCCACTCTCGCCTGACTCCACTGGCTTACCATCCCTCAGAGGATAGAATTCAAAATCCTCGTCCTCACCTTCAAGGCCCTCCATGGCCTTGCTCCCTCCTACATCTCTGACCTGCTGACCCCTATCAACCTGTCCACTCCCCCTGCTCAGCAGGCTCTGGGCTTGCTCTATGTCTCCCATCCGACCTGTCCTTGGGACGTCCTCCCGACGTGAAAGGCGCTCTATAAATGGAATCTTGTTGTTGTTGTTGTTGTCCTACCATCGGCAGCCGGGCTTTTAGCTTCTCTGCCCCCATTCTTTGGAACTCCATCCCACAATTCCTTCGCCTTGCTCCCTCTCTTGCCTCTTACAAGGCATGACTCAAGACCCTCCTTTTCAGTTGCCCTCGTACCCTCTCTGCCCTCCCTCACCCCAACCCTGCCCCCCACACCCCCACGCTTGGGTCCTGATCCCCAACTGTTCAGCGCCTTGGGATGTCCTCCCGACGTGTAAGGTACTTTACAAATTTAATTTTGTTGTTGTTGTTTACAGTATATTTTGTGAAGTGCTTTGAGATGTTTCAAAGATGTGATAAGGCACTATATCAATTGCAAGGATTATTATTATATATTATTATGCATTCTTGATAGAAGCACCCGTACTGGACACTCAACTATATTGTGGTTGAATGGACTTGTGTGCAGATCAATGTGTGGTGTTAGGCCCATCTGCTGATACTGTGGGTGTCAGATGGTGATGCCAAAAATCATGACAGCCTAAATACAATTTTAAGTCCTCTCCTCTCCCAAATATGGTGTGTGACTCTTGCAGGAATACATTTCCACAGGCACCAACCATCTGTTCTATTAATTAATTTGCCATTCTTCGTGGGTAAGCCTTTAGGACGAGTGTTAGCATGTTATTTTATAAGAAGCATCATAGTCGAGTCCGATCCTGTCCACCGGTGAAATCCGTGCGTGTGTGTGTGCACCTTTACAGCATGTAAAGTCACCTTTGATTTCTATCAGTGTTGTGCCACTGCTTTAGTTGCCACAGTTCTGCGAATTCAGAACAGTATTGGGATCAACCCTGGGATCTTCTTGCATTACCAAGTTAAAATAGATATTTTTTCCCCAAAAGAGTGAACATGTGGATTGACACACACACACACTGATTTAAAAAATATATATTTGATGTAACATAAATTGACTCCTTCAAAAAAAGACCCAGATAAGAATCAACTAAGATAGCTCTTATAGGTGCAGCCTTGAATGAACAACAAGATACACAACCATTTGTTTCTCTGTTGCAGTGAGTCGGGGGATGTTATCTGTGGAGTGAAGGCAGACAGGATTCATTGCCGTAGACACGGGGACATTCTCAACCTTTTCATTGATTGCATTTGGGGCTCAGGACATATTCATACAAAACTTTTTTCCCCCAGGAAATAGTGAGTGAAGTCCACAAAAAAAATAACAGTCAGCTCTAAAGCATAAAACAGACCCCAAGAGGTAATTGAGAGATACATGGAGAGTATGGCATGCAGATGTTCTGTATCATTACATGTGAGATTACGAGGCACTTGTGCAATGTACCTCCCTTTTTGAAATAATCCTATTGTTATAAAACTCGTGATGTGGAAAGTGAACATGGCATAGCTAGGATTTTCAGCTAGGGGGCAAGCAAAGAATACTGTAATCAAATTGGACCAACATTCTGAAGTAGCATGCTTTTATTTCAACAAACATTTAAGAAATATATCATTAAACTCACAGGCGCTTTTTAAAATGTAATTGCAGTCGATTTCCATAATGTGCTTTTGCCACATTTGTGACGAAAAGAAGCAGACATTTCTAACTTGTATTACGATGTAAAGAGCTGGATAACCTTATGCCGTGTAATGATTGAAACCATGCTTGATCCAGCTTTAGTATTTAGCCACAGTTAGGTGATGAATGATCACATTAGACATGTGATGAATGAAGAAGTATGGTAACAACACCAAAAGAAAACTTTACAGACGTATTTAAATTACTTAAGACCTTAAGAATCATTAGCGACAGGAAAGGCCGTTAGACCAAGCAACACAGAGCAAATTCTCACGGCATCCCTTCATTTTGTACTTTTATTCTGTCAACAGGTGGGGGTGAGGGGGTGGGAAGCTTTTAAAAAAAAGCTTACAATAAAATCACAAGAGGCAAGTACGCATTTAATCTTTTAGAATCAGAACGATGACCCTCACATACTGGAATAATTAATGTGAGATTCTCTACAACTGTAACAACTTGCATTTATATAGCGCTCTTCAGTGGGGTAGCGTCTCGGAGCGCTTATACCTTATCTGCTCTGGATGTATGTCACTTGCACATATGATATGTTTCTGATCTGCAAGTGGCTTTCATTGATCGTAACAAGTGGCTCGTTTTCCCTTAAACCACTTGATTGCCTGGAGAGATTTCCTGCAGGAGTTTCGAAGGTGTAAACCATAAACTGATCTAACATTGTTTCTGGCATATTTGGCCTTGTGTATCTTCAGCTTGTGTCAACATATCCGGTGGTAGCTGAGGAGAAGTGAAACCCTCTACAGCATTGCGTTTAAGGAAAAGTCTGTTGCAAATCTTTGTAGTTGGTTTAATTTTTTATTCAGCAGTTGATGATAATAACAATCCTTAGATTTGATATAGCACCTTTCATCTCAGGAGAATGTCTCGAAGTGCTCCTTTCACAGTAAAGTGTAGTGACTGTGTATTCTGCAGGAAAACATTCAATCTCGACAAAAGAAAAACACCCTAAAACGTATTTTAGAGATCTGTGAGCTCAAGTGCTGAAATGTCTCCAGGTGAATTTCACAGTCTTCATAAAAGATTGGGAGGAATACTGTATTTTGGGGCTGGGATCAGAATCTTATCTGAAAATGTTTCCTTTGGAACAGGAGTTTAGCACAACAAGAATTTGGAAGATGATTTTGGTGGAATGAAATGTCTTGGATTAGAATTGCATTCTGTCATCCTTTTTGATCGTGCTTACAGTCACCTCACCCTCTCTCTCCCCCTGGCTCGGGATCAGACTCCACCACTCTGGGATGCTACCAGCGTGAAGGGCGCTATATAAATACAAGTAGTTGTTGTTGTTATCAACCTGGCTCAGTCAGCAGCACCTCCTCCTCTGAATCAGAAGGTTGTTGGTTCAAGCTGCATATCTCACACTGGGACTTTGGACTCATAATCTAGGGGTTGATACTACAGTGGAATGCTTAGGGGAGTGCTGCACTGTCGGAGGAGGTGTCCTTCAGATGAAGCAATAAACCGAGATCCCATCTACCCTGGTCAGGTGGACTTGAAAGATCCCACGGCACTATCCAAAAAGAGAAGGGAGTTTCTTCCTGGTGTCCGAGCCAACAATCCCCCAGATAAGAAATTGGTCATACACTTTGTGACCTTTTGTGGCACATTTCTTTGTGAAAATGGCCTACAAATACACAGTCACCACACTTTACAGTTTAAAAAAAAACCTGGGAAGAAGATTGAGACATATCGAGAATGCGATAAGGTGCTTTTTACAAATGCAAGGATTACTATTTATTTATTCGACATTGCATTGGGCTGCTATGTGTTTATCTGAAGTCAGGTTCTACCCTTAGTCCACAGCATAAATGCCAGAATTGACATCTTACAATTTGCAGAAGCATTTATTCTAGATTATACATTTTTTTAAAAAAAACTATGTACACTATTTAACTTTCGCAATATATAGAGCCAAGTCTGCGAGCAAAGGAATTGCAACTTAATGGAAACCGTACAAGGTTCAGTTTTAGTCTTTCAGCTGTGACAGTAAAACTCACATTGGTAAACATTGGTTACTCACTCCACGACCGTATGTGGGAGCACCGCGGTGCGCAAATTGGCTGCTGGGTTTCGCCCGCAAAACCCGCAATCCACTTCGCAACGCATCCCGCCAAGCGCTTCGAGACGTCTCGAAGATAAGGCGCGACGCGGATTGCAAGGGATATTATCACCACGACAGGAATTGCTTGGAGGGTGGCGTCGGGGGCGGTGGTGGGGAGGTTCACCTTCGATAAAGCTGGTCCAACTAAGAAGGAAAGTGTCTCAAACAGCTGGGCTCGCCCCTTGCTCTGTTTGTTGGCATTTTCTCAGCCAGAAGCCAATGTGTGGGGTAAAAGGGGTGGGGGGGGAGTGGAGAGAGAAGGTTAGGAGGGACTGCAGAGCAGCCACTCACAGTCAGTCAGGTAGTGAGTGAGTGAATGAGTGAGTGAGTGGCTCCTCCTCTGTGTTGGGAGCTCAGCTCTTTGCTCCAGTCTTCCCGACGTCAGCTGTTCGCTGCGGGGAACCAAACTGCTGGGAGTCCGGAGTGAAGCGCCTCCTCGGCTTTGCTGTGGGGGGAGGAGGAGAGGAGGAGGAGGAGGAGGAGAGGAGAGGAGGAGAGGAGGGAAGTCAAACCCACTGCAATCGGCTGACTGGTGAACGAAGAGATCGACAGACAGTGAGAGAGAGAGAGAGAGGAGAGAGAGAAAGAAAGAAAGAAGAGAGAGAGAGAGCTGGAGGAGGCTGTTGGTTTGGTGTGTGGCTGATGGAGGGATAGAAGGAGCAAATAAGAGAGGAAAAAAAAGGGAGAAGTGGGGGGGGTTGTTAGGGGAGATTTATTATTATTGTTGTCATTAATTGATTAATGAATTAATATTGTTAGTGTTCATATAATCAGTTGAATGGTTCGAATGATTATTTGATTGTGAGTATGACTGTCACCTCTCTCTGCCTATATGTGTAGAGGAGAGAAGAGAGAGAGAAAGAAATAAAGAGAGAAAGAAATAAAGAGAGAGAGAAAGAAATAAAGAGAGGAAGAAAGGAAGGAAAGGGAGGGAGGGAGAAAGAAAGAAAGAGAGAAAGAAATAGAGAGAAATAAAGAGAGAAAGAAATAGAGAGAGAGAGAGGGAGAAAGAAATCGAGAGAGAGAGAAAGAAATAGAGAGAGAGAGAAAGAAATAGAGAGAGAGAGAAAGAAATAGAGAGGGAGAGAGAAAGAAATAGGAGAGAGAGAGAGAAATAGAGAGAGAGAGAGAGAGAAAGAAATAGAGAGAGAGAGAGAGAGAAAGAAATAGAGAGAGAGAGAAAGAAATAGAAAGAGAGAGAGAGAGAGCAGAGGTACAGCAGAGCTTCAGTGTTGCTCTGCACCGGGTGGTGATTGTGCAGTGAAGCCGATGAGCCGCTGTGGCGGTGTGCGGGGGTGGGGGCGGGGGTTGGGGTTGGGGTGGGGGCAGGTCCTGGTCCTGGTGCTGGTGCTCGGGCTCGGGCTGGCGCTGGTGCTGCCTGTGAGCGCTGGTCGGGGGGATCATGTCCCGGCGCCCTGTCCGAGCCTCTGCCGCTGTCAGGGCGATGCCGCAGCCGCGCTCAGGGTGGACTGCTCCGGACGGGGATTAACCATCGTACCGCAAGGCCTCGGAGTCTTCACGTTCTTCCTGTGAGTATTGCATATAAAACCCTTAAACCCCCCTCACCCCCTCCCAACCCCACCTCTCCCACTGCCCCCCCACCCCTTCCTTTCCCACTCGACCTGCGTTTCACTGGGAGGGTTGTGTCTGGAAACCTCAGTTGATTCCCCCCTTCACCTCCACAACCCCCTTTTTTTTTTGTTCAGGGTTTGAGGGTTGACCTGAAGAACCAATTCCATGTTCTTCTCAACTCTTTTAAGTTGTTGTTGTTGTTGTTGTTGTTTTTTTGCTGTTGCTGCTGCCAAACTGTCAGTGTTTTTGTTGCACTGGTTGTTTTCGACTGTAGTTATGCTACAAAAAAAAGGATCCCAGTTGGGTTGAGTTGGGATTGGGTTGAGTTAAATTGGGTTGAGTTGGATTGGGTTGAGTTAAATTGGGTTGAGTTGGATTGGGTTGAGTTAAATTGGGTTGAGTTGGATTGGGTTGAGTTAAATTGGGTTGAGTTGAATTGGGTTGAGTTGGGTTGAGTTGAGTTAAATTGGGTTGAGTTGGGTTGAGTTGAGTTGAATTGGGTTGAGTTGGGTTGAGTTGAGTTGAATTGGGTTGAGTTCTGTTGATCTTTGGCATCTATCCAGAAATTTAATCATAGGATCGTCAAATCCAATGCATCTCGTTTGGTTTCATGCTCAGCCCATGGAAGGGATGGGGCTGTCACTAAGCACCAAGTGGTTCCCCCCACCCCCCCTTTTCGTTTTTATTTTATGATGATGGTAATAATTAATAACAATCGTCCTCGCGTTTGATCTAGCGTCGTCGAGACTTCTCGAAGCGCTTCACAGAATGCGCTGCAAAGTGTCAGGCAAACCGAACCGACTGTGTCTTTTGCGGGCGAAACCGGGCAGCCGATAAATAACGAGGTTAATTAAGCATTTAAGCGGTTATTAAGCATTTTTTTTTAAATGAGGTCTCTCAAACTGCGGCGGAACAGGAGGATAGGGTGCGAGTGGGTGTGGATGGGTGGCTTTTATTTGCTGGAAATTAATTGGACTTGGATGGTTTCGCAGTCTTGCTGTGGGGTGAACATCCCATTGAATGTGGGCGACCCATCTGTTCAATGAGGTCTAAGCGCTCCGAAACACTGCCCCACATGGAGGGCGCTCTATAAATGCAAGCTGTTGTTGTTGTTAATTCAAAGGAAGAAAATAAACCTCATCCTCGGAATACTGCTGAAAATCCCATTTGCAATTTGCTGCTGACTGAAAACGGGAAGGTCGAGTTTGTATTATAGTTCTATTTTTGAAAAACAAATCCTTCAACATAAGCGCCTTTCCCATCCGGAGGGCGTTGCAAAATGCTTTGTAGGATTTACTGTAAAGTGTAGTGACTGTGTTTTGTCGGCGAATGCGACAGCCAATTTTTTCCACAGTGAATTCCCACAAACAGCCTTGGGGGGGGCGTCGATTATTGAATAAAAACATAGCTCTGAGAATAATTTGCAAGATAATCAATGAAATTGGATGTGAAACTGAAGTATCAAGACACACCCCCACTGCAGTTTAGTTTCTGCTTTGTATTGCAAATTGATGCAGATTGTTAACTGGTTTCCATCAGATTTCAACCTTGTTTGAAAATTATTACCAACACGTGTTAAGTATGGTGCAAACCAATCTCTGCTGCCCTTCCCAGTGAGCCTGCTAACGTTTTAATACAGTACATGATTAAGTACCTGGTAAGATTCTGTCTGAACTGCAGTTCATTCCCAGTCAATAGCTTGGGGCTGAAGAACAAATTCTATATTCTTATGGCTCAGTTTTACTGCCAAGTGTTTGTTCCAGTGCAGTAGTTATTTTCACTGCACCAATGACGAACAACCCTGTTTAGTCAGTCCTGCTGGTTTTGGCATTGATAGAAAGACCACCTGGAAAAAAAAATGGACCTGCTGTTTTTTTCAGTGTTCGTTTGAACTTTTTTTTAAGTTGAGTTTTCTTTCCCTTTTAAGAGGCACACACAGAGGCCCTGATTCCTCTCAATTAACTTTCTAATGAGCGAACAGAGGAGCTTATCCTGTCAGCTCTTTTCCACCATTTCACCCAGTGGGCAGAGGCTGGTGCGAGCAAGTCTCTTGTTTTGTGTGATTGAGGCAAGTCTTGCAGTGCTCTGCCTTCCCTGACTCACCAGTGAGAGAGTGAGCAGTGTAAACATGGCTGCCTAGTTCTCCATATAGCAGCAATACACTCTGAGTTAGTGTAAGACTATTATTATCCTCTTTGGTGTAGTTTAGCTGGAGAATTAGCTGGTAACGTAACAATGCATTAAAAAATCCACTTTTTTTTAAAAAAGAGACTAATTTGATGTACATAGTTTTACAGTTGACAAGTGCGTATGATCTATTTACATTTTCTATTAAAAAAAATTATTAAAAAGAGATTTTGCTGTTAGGTTTTCCCACGATTCCATCTTATTTGATGTGGTATTTTATATTTAGGGAATGTGGGGAAAGAGAACAGAGAATGTATAGTTTCTGGTTCACCCACAAAATATACAGCCAATTCACTTTACAGTATATTCTGTGCAGCGTTTTGAGATGTCTCGAAAACGTGATAAGGCGCTGTATCAAAATGAAAGGATTATGTTATGAAAGGAGAACAGAGGAGACACTCTTGTGTGTGATGTCCAGGGAGAGTGTTCTGAGTTAACTTGCTTTCTGACTCTTCCTTTCCCTCTGTGCGGGAAATGGCTCTTCTAATCGAATGGAATAGTAGACATTGGGGACCTAACTTCCTCCAAATCCCCATCACAGCCTGTCACGATTGCCACAAAATTGCCGTCTTGCTGACGATCAGGGAAAGGAAAGAGCTAGCAAGTGGAGCCTGCTCAGCTCGTTGTCGAGAAAGAGAGAGAGAGAGAGAGAGAGCACGTTTGGTTTTCAGAGCTGGAGATGATTTCAGGAACAGGCAGTATGTATCCGTGCCTCTTGCTTCCACTCTTTGGCCCTGGTTTCCTGCCAATCGCCAAACTGGAACTCGAAAGAGGCGAAGAGCAGAGGTCAGCAGCTGGAGTACACTGCATGTTCCTGAAATTGACTCTGCTGTGAAAACCTGAATATCTTGATGAATGATGTGAGATGTTGCACTTTTTTTTAAAAAAAAGGGTCAGTGACTTTAGCTCCTGTCTGTATGTAAGCAGCGAATGTCATCTTGTGCCAGCTGCAGGGTACCTACTGGGTCAATGGCCATAGTCCGTTGCATTGTAATGAACTAGAAAACTAATAGAGATTTTCAGAGCACCTTATCATGTTAAAATTGGCTCAAAGCCCTTCACAGGTTACCCTGTCTGTTTTTTCTTTGCCAGTGGGGAAAAGTACAGGCAATAAAGTGGGGGAGAGGAAGCTAACCTTTCGAGCATTTTGCATTTCAAGCTTTTTGGGGTTTTGCTTGAATTTCTACTAACCTTCAATTTCACATTTACACTTTTAATCGCTGCTGTGTTTTACGTCGGAATGGAGCCCTTAAGCTAAACGGACACTATCCAGTCACTTTGTGGTTTAACTTGCTCTGTGTTGGCGATTTGTGCTTAGATTTTAAGTTGAAAATGTACCTCAGCCCATGGGATTTTTTTTCTTTAGGCAACGCTCATGATTGAAATGGCTTATAACTGTTATTTCCTGTTAAGGTTTAGGGTTACCTACTCATATAAGGTTACAGTCTGTTTTAGTGTTGTACTTTTGGACATCAATTTTATTAATTGCAGATTGCACAGTTGTGGCTATAATTGGTGGAGTTTAAAGGCTTGCCACAGAAAATGAAAGTGACCTGAATTCAGTAAACCTGATTACCAGAGCGGTTTCATACACAATCGATAAGTGATTGTTTAAAAGTGAAAAATGCACTTTTTTTGTCTGCAATTTGACCTGTAAAACTCCCAACACCGTTTTTAATTGCCTCAAGTGTGTTGGTTTTATTTGAGTGTGTGATGCCCATGATTCGTTGTAAATTTCTTTTAAATGGCGGTAAGGAAAGAGACCCAAGTTAGAGCATTCTGTTGCCAAGGGTCTGGCCTCAGTTACAGTTAAATGCCGCTTATATTGGGGAGTTCAAGCCACTCTTTACTGGTGGTGTGTGAGACAAGGTCGTAATTGCATGTGGAACATGTATTTTCAAGATTATTTTTGTTTATACTCTGCAAGTGATAATGAATTTCACAAATCATGCGTATTGGATCCATAAGTAGGTTCCTTAGAAATGGTTCCATGCTGATGGATATTGACTCAGTGGCTATTCAGAAGTTCATTTCGTTCACAGATACAGAGTCTCAGTTGCTGTTTATATTTTGTCATGTGGAGGAAGGTGGTTGATAAGTAGGAACGAGCGTGTTTTTGTTCTGTGAGAATAAACAATATGTTCATGTCTCGGGTATGAAGGTTCACGGCAGTGAAAAATGATCCGGTCCAGCAAATGATCAGTTAATGAATAGCAATTGTGTGCAGTGTTCCAAAACATCAAGTTAACATTTCATGCTCCCTGAAGCGATTTAAGCGTATGGAATAAACAGAATGTTACTGTTGACCTTGTCTTTCCTGACTCCCTCTTACTGGTGAAAAGCCCCGCGAGTAACTGAATGGCAACTCCTTTACAAACACAGGAGAAGCAACTCCGGTCCCTTTAATAATAACCCTTGCATTTAATATAGCGCCTTATCATGTCGTTGAGACGTCTCAAACCGCTTCACAGAATATATTGGAAAGCGAATTAACTGTATATTTTGTTGGCGAAACTGTCATACAGTGATAAACTTAAAATATAATACCTTGAATATCTAAGGTACAAAAAGTCACCAATGTACAAATGGAAAATGACTAATAATGCACCGATCTCTTATGTTCTTTTACCTCGGGCCAGTGAAATGTACAGGTTTATTTTCAAGCCATGCAATATCTTGAGCTCTTCGATGTTATCTCTTTCAGATTAACAGTTTGAAAGTCTGTTTGTTCAATGTTTTTTTTTACGCGAACCATGATACAAAAATGGCC